TGTATCCCTGTATCCCTGTATCCCTGTATCCCTGTATCCCTGTATCCCTGTATCCCTGTATCCATGTATCCCTGTATCCCTGTATCCCTGTATCCCTGTATCCCTGTATCCCTGTATCTCTGAATCCCTATATCCCTGTATCCCTGTATCCCTGTATCCTTGTATCCTTATATCCCTGTATCCCTGTGTCCCTGGGTCCAGCTGTGTATTGTATAAGCTGTAAGATGACGGACACGCCTATTGACTATATTGCCAATTAACCATTGGTGACACACCCCCAACCACTGAAGCTAATCCAACTTCTAGTTAGAATAATGGGTCTACACCACGGGGTATAGAGTGCAAGTAGGTGTGACAACTTATTCTAATATAAACACAATAAATAAAACTTCTCCATGCTTTTAAAATCTTGAAAATTAATCTGAAAATGTAATAGTTTAAAAGTATATATATAGTTTTTATAGTGGAAACCTTATTTTTGCCTCAACTTTGTTCCCATGGGATTAGAAATGCTGCATGCCGATTAAGATGCTTTAAATTAAATTTTTATTAATAAATTAATTGAGTTTTTGCCAAAAACTCTAATTTTCGAATCCATATATCAATTGATCAAATATGGTTGGTTCCTCTTATTTTTTTTTAGCTTTTTTGAAGACCATATGCCATAAGGAAAAGGATAGCACAAGTTTTGCAATGAAATTTTTGCAAATTATTTTCATACAACCTGTCAAAATTAATCTTCACATTTTTAATTTTTCTTAATTAAACATTAGGCTATTCAAAGTTTTGCACAATTTTTTGCATATTTGAAATTTCATGGTCAAGGCCTTTTCAAATATGTATATTTTTTGGAAATCATTTTTTTGCAATCATTTTTACTATATATAACTGGGTTTTGCCAAAAAAAATCAATCTTTCCAAATTTGCAATTTTTTGCACATTCTAAAAGTAGAGCATAAGAGCTTTCCAATGATTTTTCATAAAAAAATCATAAATAAAAAAATTGATAACGAAATTGAAAATAATTTTAAAACAGAAAAAGAGGGATAACTTCATCAGTTTTGAATGAGGGGTCACTTGAAAATACATCTACAAGCCTCTTTGAACATATTTCTCTTTGGACTATATTAAATTAATTTGATTCTTATTTAGTTAAAGAGATACAACAAAAACCATCAATAGAATACAAAATAGACCTTAAAAGATTACATTAGCACTCAATAGTGTGTCTTAGAGTAGTTGGAATAGTTTCGAGCTTTCGATACTTTAACTATTTTACATGGAAGTCCAATTTGTGACACGTGTCTAAAGTATTAGAGAACGTGGCTGGTATATTACAGAACGCGGCAAAAGTCGAGGCTGAAGCCCAGCCACCGTAACCTAGTGCGCGGCCTCACCCCAGCTTCAGCTTCCGGTTTGCCACGTGGACGGAGTGATTCTACTTCCGGTGATGTCGACACTCATTGTGTGGCTGAAGACAAACTACGGTTGTGAGTCTCGAATGAGCAGGATATAGTGTTCCTAGGACTATACTAGTCAGTCAGCCAGCTAATTTGCACATATAGATAATAATAGAACACCATTATGTGTACACAAGGTCAAAGATAAAATGTACGGTGTACATAAAACGAAATGTACAGGCTGAACACAATATAAATGGTCATTGTCTTATGTGTACATTACAAGATGGAAATATCTAAAGAATAGAAAACCCGAGAGAAATCCTTTATACAAATAATATTCCGATTTTGAAGGAAAAAAGTTCGTGGATTTGTACCAAAAGCATTACAATTTCTTTCGGTTACAAAAAGACCTGATATTCATTAGTGTGCCAAAATGGTAAATTATAAAATAAAAACTTTCTTTACTGTTAAGTGTCTTTAAACAACTATTATTAATGAATAGTTGAAAAAAATATACATGTTACAAATTTTGTAAACGGAAATAAAATACAGGGAATCCCAGAAGACTGTAATAGAGAGAGACGACTTCAAGACCGAAAGTATGACTTTAAATATTCCCATAAGCATGAAACACATCCCTTGTGTAGTGTAAGCAGTCCAATTTTACTCAATAAGAGATCTAATAAGTTACTACTGAAACTATTTGCGTTGTAACAAGATCAAATACACTTAAATATTGCTGTACTGTCGTCTTCCTATTCTACAGTTTTCTGGTTTTTACTGCACGAATATGCATGCACAGTGAGCACATATATGACTCAAAACCACACAAATATTGGCTAAAATACACTTTAGTCGGTAGCAATCAATGCAAGAAAGTACTGCCCCCCCCCACAATAAACCACCAAGATGGGCTTATATTTCAAGTGAACCCCTTTTATTTAGGGCATGTCCGATTCACAACTTTGCCCTGAAACCTTAATCTGAGTATCAGTGAGGAAGGTAAAGTCACTTTTTTAAATTCTATTTATTTCTTCATGTCTCTGAAGCATAAATGCGCACGTCAAAATGAAAAAAGGTTTAAAAGGTACTGTTGTGAATCTGATATGCTAATGCTATCCTCTATAAATTGAGATTCACTTGAAATCCCGCCAGTATTGGCATAAGCACATAATAACCCACGTAAAACTAGATTTAGCTTAATATGTCCTATAACTTTAATAGAAGAACTTCATATTACGTGTAATAGGCTTGTCATTCAAAATCCTCCGAACAAAGTTTTGGGGTTTCCAAAAAAGTACAAATTTGAAAATGCGAAAATATTTCAATTAATGGGGGAAATGGGTTAGAAATTGAAGGTTCGCTGGCCATTAAACAAGGACATCTGAATCACCGTGAACCAAGAAGATACTCTTTGAAGATGAGCCGACAATGGATAATCTGAGATAGTCTCGGTCGGAGACATTTTAAATCTTTTCAATTTCTTGATTCAATTCAGAATACCTCAAGGTAGATAAATCAAAATTAGCTCCACCCCCCCCCCCCCTCCCTCCTCTTCTCTCACTTTCAATTATATGTTTCTTATTCAATTCCTCATTTTTTCATTTTTTCCCCCAAGTCATCTCTGTCTCTCTCTCATTTTTATTTTCATCTTGCTTCCTGAATTGAATAAATAGTGCGTATGGAATTAACTAAGCTATAGCTATCCTTATAAAAACAAAAACTTGAGAGGTTAAACACTATCAAGTGATTCATAATTTAAATTTGTTCATACCACCATTTCATGAAAAATTAACTACAACCTGCTACAATGTTTTAAATCTAAGCAAAAAGTTTAAAATAGAACTTTCCAAAAATATGCATTAAATGTGTGAAAATGGGTGGCAAAGTTCAGACTAACCGTGATATGCGCCATTTTAGTGCAAAAATTATAATTTCACCGTTGCTTATCAGATACTGCAGCAGAGTTTTTTTGGGTTAAAAAAGTGTATTTTCCGATAAAATTA